TGAATGTGTTTATTGCTAAGTTTTTGTGCCACAATTACATTTAAACAGACAAATGCTAGCTTAAAATAAAGCATTATTTTTTTAATCTACCTAGGAGAAGTGGAAAAAACACCTTGAAAGTAAGCTGCCTCATATCAAATACTTTGCCTAAAAGCTTTACTATTAAAAATATTTGAATTTTAAGAATAATTTTGAGAAAGCCTGGCAGCTAAACTACAGTGCCTAATTTTCCCTTCTTCAATATAAACCACAGATTTATTGAATGTTTTAGGCTGGAAAGAATCATTGGTTCCAACCTCCCTGCCGTGGGCAGGGAACCTTCCACTAGACCAGGTTGCTCAGCCTGGCCTTGAACACTTCCAGGGTCAGGGCATACCCACAGCTTCTCTGGGCAACCCGTTCCAGTTTCTCACCACCCTCACAGTATAGACTTTCTTCCTAATATATGATCTAAACCTAGCCTCTTTCAGTTTAAAGCAATTACCCCTTGTCCTATCATTACATGCCCATGTAAAATACCTTGCACCGACTTTCTGCAGTGTGTAAGTTTGGAATTTATTTTCATTTCTAATACAAAACCTGATGAGTTTTTACACTGTCCTGTGCAAGCCACATTTCTATAGATTTGTTGCAGCTGGCACGACATAGTCACACCACAGTCAGCAGATATGTGTACATGGGGTGGTTCATGTTCCTGACTGCCCTTCCGGAGCAGCTCCCCAGACCACAGGGGCTGGGAACTGCAGGACTTCCCATGAAGCTGAACTGCATTTCAGGTGGGGCAATGGCAGGCATGGCACTGGCTTTTGAAATACCACCAGCAGAGGAGCTGAACGAGGAGAGGTGTCCATGGGACACAGTCTGAGAGGTTGTCCACAGGCACAGCACCTTCATTTCCCAGCCTGCCCTCACTGCAGGGCATCAGCCCCCCAACCTGGGTCTCTCTGCTGTCTTGTCTGTTGCCCTCTGTTTTCAGGTGAGTCACTCAGGTGTCACCTTCTTCCCACCTGGAAAGACACAGACCCCTTTGCCTCACTAGACAGAGGCGAAATGATAATGCCCCCAAGGTCCATCTGGAGACTCATCAGAGGCCACACAGATTATGGAGAGCCAGGGACTTTATGTGGGCCTCTGGCACAAGTGACACAGTGAGAAACCCAGATCATTACAGCAGGAGGGAACATGGGCCATGAGAAAGAGCGACGCTACAGCACCAGTATTTATAAACACAACTGAGGTCTGCTGTCTCTCTCATATGATTGCTGGACTACAAACTACAGGCCATCTGCCCGCAGTCTATTATCACAATCTGTGAACAATTAGAGACAGGGTATTTCATTTTAGAAAATAGCAAAATTAACAAAAAAGGCACAGAAAAAAAGCCAGAAAACAATCAAAAAACAAGTAACAAAATGGCAGTCAGCCACTGCACAGAGCCCCATTTGCCAGCCCTTGAACCCAGCAGCTCCCAGACCCACCACCATCACATCAGTTGCTTCAGAGGTGGTATGACTTCTGCTGCTGCTGAGGCCACGGTGGGTGCCAGCAGCAGCTCTTCTCCTACAAATACAAGCACCTGACACTGCTCTCTGAGACCTGAGAGCACCATAACCCCGCCTGTGAAACCAGCTCACCACGTGCAGGAGGCATGAGGGCAGACATAGTACATATGGCACTCTCAAAGGGAAATGTCCTCTTCCCAGTCAGCAGCTGAGCTTGCACTAGAACTGCCAGCCCTTCCTCAGGCTGCCCTGTCTCCGCCTGCACCATCACCATCCTTCAGCCCCCTCTCCCATGCTGGAGCTGCTCCCATGTTGGAGCTGCTGCTGGCAGAGGACCCTCTGCAGCCCTGGCCAGGTGCACCCTGCAGGGGCTGCCCAGGGCTGCACAAGGCTGCAGTGGGAGGCAGAGTCTCCAGAGGCATAGCACCGACGATGCGCTGGGCCCCAGTCAGAGAGGCAGTAGGGAAGGACATACCCTTATCACTGCTGGCCTTTGATCTGCAATGCTGCTGCAGAGAAAGCTGGGTAGATAGCTGCTGCTCCTTAGGTGGTTGGCTTGCTGTCACTGAGCAGGGACTGTGTCAGCAACGTGTGATCAGCAGGAGATGGGGTTTGTGAGTGCGGACTGTTTCCTACTTCCAGACCACAGATGTAGTGTGTATCCCTCTCTTGGAGGAGCCTACTGAATTTCTATGCAAAAAAATTCCTTCTGGAGCGATGCTTTTACCATGAGGCTGGGGAAAGGCTAGATCTCGGGATTTTGCCTTTTCCTCATACTTGCTATCATCACATGGCCATCATCTTGTATCTGAGTTTCTACACCCACATCCCACCCTTTGACACAGGACAGCTTGGATCCAGACCAAGCAGGCACTCCTCCTTGGTACCCCTGTGATATCCCTGTTGGTCAGGCAATGGCTGATTTCAGGAGAAGGCTGCCTGGAAATGCCATGCCCTTCCACTCTCTGATGGTCAGGCCTTACCTGATGGGAGTCCTACACACTTCATGGCCCAAGGAGAACAGGAGGCAACCAACTGCTGCTGAGCACTGCGTACTGCAAGGGTGAGATGAAAGACTGCCACTTCTGCCATGGGATAACCCCAGTTCAGCTGGTGCTGTGCTCCTGGCTGGGGCTGGGGACCTGAACCTGTAGAGCCCTGGCACCGTTGGAGATCTGTTTTCTCCAGGGATCTATGTCATGCTCCAGGTAGGAGACTCCAAGGATGCCCCAACAGGCACCGACAGACGGGACAGGGTAGCTGTAGGGAGGCAGCGTGGGATGGCACCACTGGGCTGAGCCAGCACAGTCCAATGGAGAAGGCTTAAAGAGCAACAAAAACCACACACATGCAAAAACTCTGCATCAGTCTTCAGTAGCCTGAGTAATTACTTGTTTCTTACAACAGGGAAATGGTAAAGAAAGTAAAAATCCAACTGCTTTAAGACAACAGACACTCTCAATTCATTTCTAATTTATGCATTCTTGTCATATGAAAGCCACTTGCTTAAGCTGCTTTTCTATCTATTTGTAGTCTATTCAGACACACAATGCTCAGTGGGGGTCTGTCTCCATGATTCATTGGCTCAGATTTCCTATAGAGTTTACACGATGTCTACTAAGCCCCATACAGTTTTGTATCCATTATAACCAGGGACAAGCAAGCAGGGCTCAGGAGGCTGAGCATCCATCTAAGAATAGCTTCCTGTCTTCCAGCTCTCTTCACAACAAATGAACAATGGTTACATTTTACCGGCTAGCACTGCATGGTGAGGGGAAATTAGAGGAACTTGTCTGAGTTAAATAAGGGAAGAAGCATTTAGAGTGAAGCTCCTTAAATGAGCAGGTCAATAACTAGTTTACTGAGACCAAGGCACATAGCTAATGAGAGAATAAAGAATTATTCTTGTCAAGAGAGAAAAAGATGCTGCCCTGGTTTTGTGCTAAATAATTACATTCATTATGTTTAGGACAGCCTTGAAAGTGGTCTTCTGTACTAGTAAATTCATTAGCAAAGCTAATAGGCAAACTACTATTGGGGCAAATCTAAACAATTGCAACAGGATGGATGGCAAAGATGGGGAAAGGTAGTATGAGAGCTAAGAGCCAAAGTTAGCTTTAACTATAATTGAATTTATCTTCTCATCAACTTTAAGGCCTCCTTCTGGGCTTAAAACAAGGAGAGGAAAAGGTGTTGAAATGAAAGGATATTCACTTGATTCGATTTGTTGCTAGCTTTTCCAGCTTACCGAGCTTTCTAAACTGACCTCTTGACACATGACCACAATTATAAATCCAACAAAAATTAAAACATTAGCTAAATTGGCTCAATGTTTCCAAGTGACAAGAGACCTCAAATGTGTCAGGAAATCATCTCCCCAGCCAAAACACTGTAAAAGTAACCAGGTTTTGAATTTACCAAGAAGTTCATGAAACTTGGCTGGGCAGCAGAAAGGTGGGCTCTTCTTCTTTAATCATGCCTTGCCTAGACTGTGATCATAGGAGCTTCACAGGTACAAATGCAGCACTTAGAGGTGAGCCTGGAAAATTATTGGAATCAATTGAGTGAGTCTGCAGAGTACAGCAGTAATACATGTAGGACAGAGCAGATCACTGACAGCACTTACAGCAGTGTCTGGCACTGACCACAACTCCAGGCAGGGCTACTCAGCCCCTACATCGCACAGGGCTACCTTCGCTCACAAACTGAGGCACAGGGGAATGGGGACAATTCCTGTTATTGAGCTCAGTACAGGACAGAGCTTTGGCTGAAAAAGCAGAAGGGATTTTTTTTTTTAAATGTTGAAACGGTTTTTAGCATTTTGAAAGTGAGATTGCCTAGTGATTTTTTTATAAAAATAACTTTACACTCTGAAATGAAAATGCATTATGATTGAAAAAAAATACCTACTAAAAATGGGTGGGATCATCAAATATTTAAGCTTTTTTTCCTTGGATGTAGAATATAAATAACTTTTAGTTAATTTAGTAAAAAACTTCTTAAACCATCTGATTCAGATTTAGCTGGGTTGGGTTCAGTTTTGCCACTTAACCAAAAAGCTGTTATACATCATCTGTGTCTAGCTGTTTTAAATGGACACACAGGGTATTGGCTAAAGGCATCCAAAAAGTAGCTCTTCAGTAATTGGATTTTGGAAAGACAGAAAAGAAGTAAACGAAATGAAGCCCATAGCTGAAAGAAAAGAGAAGAAAAAAAAAAAAATCTTCTTTGCCAAGTGGAAATGGGAATAAATGTTCTTGGCTACTGTTGCAGCCTGAAAAGCCAGAATAAGCCTGAGGCTCCCCAGTAAACCGAGTTTAGAAACCTGCTCAGCTGATCTCTCATCTCTTCTGGCAAGTTGCCTTATCCAGTCAAGTTAGAAATTCAGGATCTAACTTTCAGTGAGAAACTGGAAAGACAGATATGTTGTACCTGTGAAGAAAGACATGAAGAGAATTGTCTTTACCTAAACTAAACACCGGGAAAACACTTGCCATCTGTATCATTTCAGTGAGAGGCTGATCCTTTCCCTCCGGCCATCACGGTGCACCTCCCCTGAAAACAGGTCTGGACTGCATCGGCTGCAACACCAAAGGAGGTTGAAGAGTCTCCGTCCATCGACAGAAGAAAATCTGTGATCATCCTTTTATGACCTTCTTGCGTGCAACTACAGCCTTCAAAACCAGAGTGAAAAGGTGCAAAAAAAATTTTGAGATCTCTACATAGTGACAAAGTTTCCTTCTTAAAGAATTTTTAATTAGTCATTTCCATAGGGAAGATGAAAACTAGAAGATAACTATTAAGGGTGTGGGAAAAGTATCAGAGGTGTTTACTGAGGACAGGCCTAAGCATGGGCCGGGGAGAAACTGGCACTTTGTTCTCTTAAAGGTCAAGACCAGACCTGGATTTCCTCACTAGAATTTTGACAGTCATTAAGTAATACAAACACATTATGCAATCTTTACATTTAGAGACTCTAAAAGTTCAGTTTTGGTCTGAAAAGTGACTATGAAAATGTCACCTTATTTCTGCACTTGTCTGCTCCCTCAAGTGTCTGTTCTCTTGTCAAAATATATCCATTTTACTCACTAATGTTAATGGGAACCCCATATGCCAAGCAGAGAAGATTGGCCTCTTAAGCTTTACCTATTTGCCTGCTAATAAAGCGCACTTTTTATCCCAATAAGCAAGGGAAAGCCAGCACAGGTGCACCACAGTAATATGCATTATACTTTGCCTCATGCTGTGCTACCACCAGTGAAGCTTTATTCTCATTCGAGAACTTGTACATTTGCTGAAGGTTAGTGATGAAGTACAGTGCAGGTCATAAACAACTTAGCTTCATTTTCCACAACTAGACGGAGCAGCAGGCACTTAGGAAAAAAATTATACTAGCTTGTAAGTGGAACAATTTAATATAGAAGTAACTGATGACAAATAAACACAAAATGCCAAGGCAACTTGTACTCTCTTCCTTACATTTCTTTAAAATCAAAGCTAGTAAACTAGAATTTATTCAATCTTACCAAAGAAATCACTTTTGAATGTGAAATACACACTTAAGAAGGGAGAACACTGTGCTTCTTCCTGACAAAAACCTTTTGTACAGACAGTGCACTGAAAAGGTCTAAATACGTACAGCTATGGCTAAGATTTTCCAGCCGCGTGCTGGAAACACTCTGCATTGTCATCCTCAGACAAAGTAATCTGTGTGGTAAAACCTCCTCAAAACAACAGAGCTTAAATTATACAAATGGCAAAACATCTGTCTTGTTTCTTCACTTACCTTCCAAGAGCAGAGGTTCTTTCTCCAAACACATGATGCTTTCACACATGCTTTGACCAACCACCTCTTTATTAAATCACATTAACTCTCTTGTTACCTAATGCAGCTAGTGGTGCTGGAACCCCATCTCTCCTATCAGCTAAGATTTTATTTTCTCACTTCCTGCAGCAAAAAAATATTCATTGCTTATGGACTCCCATTGACAGGTGTTGCATCAGCAGCAGATTTGAGTCTTTTATGAATAGATGTGAGGCTTAGCCGTAGAAATCTACATGAAGCTCTGAGAAGAACTGATTCCAAACTATATCATGTTGGAACTGACGAAACTGTTGAAAATACACATTTATACTTTCAGTGTGATTTGTGGGCAGGGGAAGAGCTGTGAAGCAGCATCCCAGGCAGGCTGTGTCATCTTCATTCTTGGACGTTCACAGGAGCAGACCAGATGAAACTCTGAGCAACCTGGTCTGGCCTCATGGCTGATCTTGCTTTCACTAGGAGGTCAGACCTAGCCCTCCTGTAGTCCCTTCCCAACCAAGTTAGGACTGTGTGGAGTGGAAATGGGTTTCTGCTTGAAGCCCCGACTTACCTCTCCTTCCCAGGTGCCCTTATACAACACATATGAGGCCCTGGAACCTGAGGACCAGTGAAATGAGAATACAGATGAAGGTTCTTCCAAGATGGAGGCATCACCTAGGGCAAGGTAGCCTACCTCCTACATCACAACCTCCTCAATTAAGAAAAGAAGAAAGGTAGTAGTCACTGGCAACTCCCCTTTGAGAGGAATGGAAGGTCTGATACACCAACTGGACCCAATCCATAGGGAGTTGTGTTGCCTCCCTGGGACCTGTGCAAGGAACATCACCAAGAAAATTCCCAGCCTGGTGTTGCCCACTGATTATTACTCTCTACTGATTTTCCAGGTAGGCAGAGCTCAGGTCTGTCAGAACAGAGAATGCTCTGAAGGGAGTAGCAGCAGACACCTCTGATATTTGTTTCCAGCCATTCAGATTAGCATTCTGCATTCACTGCTGTTTATATCCTCTAACTTCTTGATACTTATGGCTGAGTGAACTTGTCCAAAACCTCTCCCTGGTTTATGAGTGTGAATATTGTTTTTATGTTCACTGACCACTAATGAGGCATCTTCCTGCTTTAATCCTGCATAAAATTAGGTACCCACTGTAAAACACTCTTTCCTACTGCTTTTCATCGATTGTAAAGGGAATTAGATCTGGCAAATATTGATAATGGCCATGAAGAAATGCTCACTGCTCTCTCGATCTTTCAGAGTGAATTTGTTTACAATAAGTGGTCAAAACATGGCTCAGCACAAGAAAAAACCCTTCTCAGTCAAATCATACCAGTAAGGATTCTTGAAATCAGCATGGATCTGGTCTTAGCAGTGCCAGGTAGCACCAGTGCCCAGTCATGCCACGGCACTGTCCCTATTGGCCATCCCCTTCCCACTGTTTCTGAATGTACCTTGTGAAAGGAGAGCAAGCATAGAAACTCTTTCTGGTTGATGGTGCCCATGTTACAGTGCCTCCAGCTTAAGCTTTGCCATGCAACCAATGCAAAATAAACTGAGAAGCTCCCCAGACATATCTCAGTTGACTCAATTCTTCTGTTTTGGAAGTGGAGGAGGCAGAATCACAGCACTCACTCATTTTCCTATGTGCAGAGCCAGCCTGTAGGCTTGGAGGAGGTACACGATCTAGGGAAGGAGGTCTCACTCCCTCTTACTCTGCCATGAAGGTGAAAATACCAAACAACAGTTCAGCTTTCCACTACTGCAGGTCTACAGAAAGAGCAAACCACAGCAAATAAGGTTTGATATAACAGTCCTAAACTGGTGATGGAAAAGCTGCCTAGCACATTTGTGGCTGAATTTAGTTATTTTGTTTAATGTAACAAATTATACTACAATTGTATGAGATCTATATTCTTGGCCTTTAAATCAAGCCAATGGCTTTTAATATTTCAGTTTATTCTTAAACAATACTAATGGCTGTACACAGCAGACACAGCTTTATCAGAGGGGAGAACATTGAAAATTTGAGGAAGAACATCTCCATCTAACTGCCTATACCTGTAACTGAGAAATAAACACCCTTCCCAAGGGAAAAAAAGGTTGAGGTTAATTAGGTGATTGTTGAACAATGCACACAAAGTTTCTGCTGTGAAACACTATTTTATCGAGAAATATATTGTACATCTCCACCTTGCCAGAATCTGATAAAAGATGGAGAGTACAGTACATACCATGAAATGCATGACAACTTCATATAACTTCTTCTGAAAGAAAGCAGCCTGTTGTTTACTGCACTTATCGACAATCTGTGAAAGTAGACCAGAAATCAGTCTAATTACCAGAGTGCCAGTTGTGCTTGTTAACACCAGCTTTGTGACCAAATGTTATTCCACAGTTGTCACATCACAAGAAGGTTTCATTACTAACATAATAGTGAACAAGATCACATGCCTGGCTATTGATTGATCTGCCACACAAAGGAAGGACATTTGTTGTCTCTATTATAACCACTTACATCTTTGTTTGGCTGTATAATATGCACAGGAATGTATCATGAGCAGTTGCTGCAGTGTTTCCTAATTTCAGCCTGTTAGCCCATTAACAGCCCACTAGCACTTGCAGACTTTACCAAAGGACAAGAAATGACTCTGCCATAATTTAGTCTTGTACAGTCTTAAAAAAATTGTTTTCATCAGCCTTCTTGCAATGGATCCTACAAGGACTGAGACTTACTCAACATTTGCATTATAAATATATCATTTCTGCCAAATCAAAAGATATTTTAATTCTTTCCAGACACAATTGGGTAACACAGCAGGAACAGTAGAAATATTCATTATTACTGCAGTTGAATGGCCCTGAAAGAACTATATCTTAGACCAGAGAAATGCTCTGCTAACAAGCACCTCAGACAAAATGAACTAAGACTGACCCTCAGAGCATCAAGATATTGCTTGACTGACCAGTCATAAATGCAAACAGCAGCTTTCAGGCCTGTTGTTGATATGAAAAGTGAACAGTCTTGTTTATTTTTCTATGAACTCAATAAATATTACAATATAAAAGTGGATTTGTTTATCATTGTGAGCCTACAAAAAAACAAGCATGCCTCATCATCTTATCTGATGATGAATGATTTATCAGGCAGAACGTCAATCTGCTTCTAACTGAGTCTATTTTCCTGTTTATGCTTGTTGAACAGATACAATTTAATGAAGAATATAAAGTACTTAAAAATCCGTCTACCATTAATAGTTTAATTAAACTGACATGTACTTCAAAAACAGAGAGACAGAAAACATTAATTTTGGTTATAAAGGGCATGGCATTATTAAAATGCAATTAAAACCCGCATTCACTTACAAGTAATAGCCAAAACAATTTAATTATTTAACATTTCATTGTCAGTTCTGGCTAACTTAGCCACCCCAAGGTAGGTATATTCTTTGGTCCTCTTGTAAAGTATATTACACAGCTGCCATCACACCGCAGAGACCTAAACACAAGGTAACAAGCTGCTCCTGAGCAATATCTCACTGTACATCCCCTGACAAACACCTCACTGTGCCATTTTCCTCTGGGGCCTCCGGTGTCCTTGAGGTGCCAGTTCCCAAAGCACCCCTCATGAACCTCTCCACTGGCCCCTGCTGAGACTGGTGCAAAATGTAGGAGATGACTGGTGAGCTGGTTCCTGGCTTTTGGATCACTGTTCCCTGATAAAAGCACTTATCTGGGACTCTCAGACATACTGAAGTACCTGTTTTCTTCCTAAACTTCATGTCTCACAGCTCTCTCTTTCTGTCATATTTGATCTAAATTGATCAACTGGCTCAGCAATTATTTGAGGGAAGGCA